GCTGTTTTCGCACCATTGCCATTAGCTTTAGCTTCTCCTTTTGCTTTTTTCTCCACAGCTGCCTTCCCATTGCCATTGTTATTGGCTTTGCCATTGCTGCCAGCCTTAGCCTTACCATTAGCTTTAGCATCACCATTATTGTCTTTCCCATTCACTTTAGCTTGACCGTTATTTTTTCCATTGTCGTTTGCCTTCTTTTTGTTGTCATTCTTTGGGGCCGGTGTTGCTTTTGGTTTAGATGCTAATTTAGAAGCTAAAGTAGGTTTTAACTTTGGGATCAAGATTCGCGCAGCAGTAGGTTTGGCCTTTGGCTTTGAAGTTTGCTTGGCTTTAGCTGGAGCAGCTTTGGCTGGGGCAGTTTTTGACTTATCAGCTTTTCCATTGTTCGCCTTTCCCTCCTATTTGATTAATATTGTTTTTATTTAAAAGCATAAATGGTCAGGTTGGCGTTGATGAAAAGAGAGTGAATGAGAGAGAGATAGACAGTGGAAGCCATCAGGGATGGGTGGGATTGAAAGCAGTGGGGATGGACAGAAAAAGGGAGAGAGACAACAATGAATTTAAGATCACTGGTGCTTGAATCACTGACTGAGATTTTACTGGCATTACTGGATACAGTATGAAGCTAAGTCAGATTTAGTTGTTTATATTAATTTCATAAGTTTAGACTTCGTAAACTATATAATACCTACAGAAAGATAAACAATTTGATACTGTTTTCTCCAATAATGCCAATCTCCACATTAAAAAAGCAGCATGTTGTGCGCATGGGGACGTAACGCTGTGAGGCACTGGGGAAAAGTTTGCTCAAATAGCATCTGCTGATAAAACTGATGCATGGCTGGTACACTGTGCTGCCCAACTGCACAAAAAGGAAAGGAAGGGACATAGTCATAATACACCATTCATAATCCCATTAAAATGACATTGCTAGCATGTATCAAATCATTAAAGGAACTGTTTAAGCAAATAACATAGAAATTGTAATACTTATTCAAATATTGTTCATTACACTAATCAATATGAAAGGAATGAATGGCGTAGACTACCCAGATTAAGATGATAGCAAAAGCGCAAACTGCAGAGAATAAAACAGGCATATTAATTAAAGACTAATCCTCAAGTTGACACATACTGAGCTAAATTAAACTAGTAAAAGTTAGCTATACTCACAGTTAAACACAAAATAGCTCTTTAAACAGCTCAGTGAGCACGCAAGATAAAGAGATGACTGTAAGAAAAACAGCCCTAAAAATAAGTGATAGTACAATGTTGGCCAAAGTGAAAGTAAACCTATAAAGTGAAGAGATGGATATGAATAAACACATAGACACAGACGCTTGTTGTACATGATAAAAGCACAGAGTGACACAAGGGAACTCACAAGCTTTGTTACTCACACAACAGGTGAAATGTAAAAACATGCAAATACACATAAGAATAAAAAAAAAAAAAATAAGACTTAAGAAGAATAATTCCATGCAATTGTGAAGAATGTAAAGTGGAACTGTTTAACTGAGCTATCATGTCAGTATCAAATCAATAAGTTGCAATGACCTTACTTACATGCACATGAAAATTCTAAATGATATTGGAATTGGCTCATACACTGAAATCTATTACTTAAATTACTAAGAAGAATTACTGAATTGCAGTAATTAACAAAAATATCGACTTCCTCCGTAAAATAATTCATATGAAAAAATGTCATTAAAAAAAAGTAAGGTAAATCAGAATTAAACAAGCTAATGAATATATAATTTTAAAAATTAATTAAAAAAAAAACACTTAATTAAAAAACGTAAATATAAACTTATAATTTTCATAAATATAAATTAGATATAGAATAAATATAGAATAAAATATAATTTATCCTATATAATATACATACTTGGATCTATACACAGTACTTTCTCTGTTTAGTAAATCAGATTTTTTGACTTTTTGAGCTGTTGGTTTAACACAGTGGGGCCATGATCAATGAGTGATATAGTGTGTGTGTGTGTGTGTGTGTGTGTGTGTTGTGCCTCCAGTGCCCCTTAAAATTCCACATACACACAATCATGTACTGACCAACACAATCTGACACTATACAGGTACAAATATATGACAAAGGACAACATGTAGATGACACAAGCAACATCAATATAGTGTGACAGGTGATGGGCGAGGTGAAACGAGAGGTGGGACATCACACATGACGATGTGAGACAGGTGTGAACAGGAAGGAGAGGACCAATGTACTCAATTGAAAGAGACGGGTGAGTTTAACATTACACTCTCTGTGTCCAATTGGTTTTTGTCAAAACCATGTATACATTGTATACATTAAAGAAATTTAAAATTTCAATTTGAACCCACAGCAATGTCATAGAAATATTTGCATACTGACTTCTTTCATTTCTTTCATTTATTTGCATACCATATTGTGATTTCTCTATATTTAGATGTCTATTTTCTATTCAAGTAAGGCAAGACTTATTTTCTTTTCTTTTTTTTACCCTGCTGTCTTCTTTTTAGCATAAACCTCATCAAATTTTGTTAGATCTGTTTTGTCAGAGGGATGTTTAGATAACAAGACAAAAATGCAGATTAAAATATTATTACATTTATTTAAAGCGTTAATATTATTCTTTTTGGCCTTGCAGGCACTTATCAAGTTATCCTAAATCAGGTATCATGCCGTCTCTTTCTCCTCCTCTCTTTTCTGATTCACTTTGTGATTCCATTTGCGATCTCCCTCTTTACCTCTTTGGTGGGGTCCACGGCTGGGACGGAGGGAGGGACACTCGTAGTTCCTTCATAATAATAGGGGTATTCATAATCATCCCGCTCTTCATCAAAGTACTGAGAGACATGGGGGGAGAGAGAGGAGCAGTGAAGCCAGAGGAATGCAGGGAAGGAGAGAGAGAGGCCATGTGAGTGACAGAAAGGGAATGTAGCAAATGACAAGAGTGAAAAAAGAAGACTTTGGGAAGAGAAAACGAATGAGAGAATAATAGGGAGAGAGGAGAGAAAAGTGAAGGATGAGTAAAGTGAGATGTAGGAGTTAGAAATAAGGGCAAGATGAAAGCATGATGGTTTTATCATTTGTGACCCTGGACCACAAAACCAGTCTTAAGTCGCTGGGGTATATTTGTAGCAATAGCCAAAAAAACACTGTATGGGTCAAATTTATTGATTTTTCTTTTATGCCAAAAATCATTAGGATATTAAGTAAAGATCATGTTCCATGGAGATATTTTGTACATTTCCTACTGTAAATATATTAAAACTTGATTTTTTTATTAGTAATATGCATTGCTAAGAACTTCATTTTGACTACTTTAAAGGAGATTTTGTCAATATTTCGATTTTTTTGCACCCTCAGATTCCAGATTTTCAAATAGTTGTATCTCGGCCAAATATTGTCCTGTCCTACATCCATACATCAATGGAAAGATTATTTATTCAGCTTTCAGATGATGTATAAATCTCAATTTTGAAAAATTGACCCTTATGACTGGTTTTGTGGTCCAGGGTCACATTTGTTCATAAGACTCGTGGGTTTGAGTAACACTCAGATGTTACTGCATTACTGCAAAACACATTGAGAACTTCAATGAACATGAAAACAAATGCATTCATCTGAAAAGCTGGCATAAGAGCATACTGTAAGCAGAAATAAAACTATTATATGCAGTTTCAGCACTTAGAGTCAAATGGATGTTATAAAACAGATTGACCCTAAACGCCATTGTAAAAGGTAAAAGCCATTATGGCAAGTTGCTATGTTGCTCAGCCTTCTCCTAAAGAATTGTTCATTCTGATTAAATAAATGTATTAAATTATTAAATATAACTATTTATTCAGCATTGGAGTAATATATCATATTTCTGTCTCAGGATTATTATAGTTAACTAAAACTAAAACTGAAGCTAAAATTAAAACCAAACACTAAAATGACAAAAACACAACAAAAGTACTAAAACTTTAAAATTAAAAATGGAAAAAAGAGACGAATTCAAAATAATAATTAATGAGATAATATAATAACCAATGACATAATAGTATCTCATTGATACTAAATAATAAAGACAATAAAGAAAACAATAAAGACACTTCTGTCTTTATTACAGAAATACATTATATTGCATTACAGTGTTTTTTTTTTTTAATATTAAAAATGTTTTTGGCACTCCACGTCATGTTGTGCCTAAGACCTTGTGACAAAACTCCTCCAGGCTGCTACTATGTTCCCAATCTGATCTACACTTTGAACTGAGAATCCTTGTGCGCGTTGTAAGAAATAAATCTCAAGAAAGCCAAAATATAAAGCAACATGCACTGATGAGAAACTGAAACTGCATTAGGACAGAGCACCTTTGATGACGTGGAAGAGCTGTGGATGTATGAAAATGGGTTGCAGGGCTGTGATGTGTGTATCTGACTCAAATGAGGGGCTCTATATAGTGTAGGTAAAATATAATACTAATGTGCTTAGAAACGTTAACATTTCTAGATTTTTGTGGATGATTTTCATGAATATTTAGCTGGCATTCTGATTTGAGATGCATTTGTGAGTAACATATTCAATATATGGCTTGGCCCATATTTATCCAAGCATTTAGCACAAGTCCAATCCAAATCAAATACAGATGCAGCTTTTGAATGGTTCTGAATCAAGGCCGATTTTATGGCAAATATTTGGTTGAGTTGCTGTTTTTGCATAAGCAAAAACATTTAGCATTGATGCATTGAGAAGAGTTGTTGCTAGTAGGTGAAACTCCATTTTTATATCCCACATCAGGACACTTTGCCCCATTGTAAAATTGTGCTGTGGTACTCACGTAGCTGTTTGGGTCCTGGGACTGGACTTTGGGCAGAGGGGAGTCACAGTCGGGGCTGTAGTGCTCACAGAAGTCATAAGCGGCCTGAGGATTGGATGCAATCAGCAGTTGCTGGATCTCACCCTGGAGAGAAGCAAATAAATAGAAGGGATGTCAGTTTAACAACCAGATGTGAAGAAAGTATCAAGTTTGTTACCAGGGGTCAAAGTCAGATAATCTGCGATACTAAGGCATTTTATTTCTGTTTTTTATTTATTTTTGAATTAAATAATAGCAATAGGGTACGTGCAGCAGAACTGTCTCACATGTGATTTTCTGATTATACCATATAAGAAAAATTTAAAGTCAAAATAAAATGCATTTGCAACCCCATTATGTGACATATTTTAGAGTAAAGCAGAATATTCAACAAGAAAACATAAGACAGGACTTAATTTTATCCATCAGCAATTGACTGGATCGCAACAGGCATTCAACAAGAGTACGCTGTAAAAATACATAGTTTAGTTGTTGTTTTTTTATTCAACTTAACATGTTACATTTTCACCGTCTCAACTAGTTTGTAAGTTGACTTAACCAGAGTATTTGGCCCCAAGCGTAAAATGTTGAACGATATCACATTCTCAGTAACATCTGTGCGAGATTTCATGAAGACAGATGCAACGTTTGTCAGCCATCTAGGTGAGCTTCTCTGCAAAGTTTGAAAATGTTCACCATCATCAAATTTGGTAAATAAATATTTGTACTTATTGGTTTACTTAAAAGTCCAGAAATGTGTATTAGCAAAGTAAATAAGGTCAGCTTTGATTTCATGTTGACAATTCTTGTTACTACAGTTGCCTATAACATCACCATAAATTGTAGTTTATTTCGTGCAGAAAATGTAAAAAAACTCAAACTCCAAACATGTTACAAAGACACCCTTCTTAAAGGGATAGTTCACCAAAAAACGAGAATTTACTCACCCTCAAGTTGTTCCAAACCTGTATGAATTTCTTTTTTCTGCTGAACACAAAAGATATTTTGAAGAATGTAGGTAACCAAACAGTTGCTGATCCCCATTGACTTCATAGTATTTTTTTCCCCTCCATACTATGAAAGTCAATGGGGACCAGCAACTGTTTGGTTACCCACATGGAAATCAATGGAAGACAATCTGTGATCATTTACTCATGATTTTCTTTCTTTTGTTGAACATAAAAGAAGATATTTGGAAGAATCTGGGTAACCAGAAAGTTGATGGTCCCCACTGACTTCCAAAGTACTTTTTTTCCAAACTATGTCAATGGGGACCACCATAAACTGTTTGGTTACCAAGTTTCTACAAAATATCTTCCTATGTCCAACAGAAGAAAGAAATTCATCAGTCAATGATGACAGAATTTTCTTTTTTGGGTGAACTCTCCCTTTAATAGTCATCTATCAATCACAAAGTGTGTATCACAGAATTCCTTGATATCTCTTGCACAATGTATAGCAGACCTGGAAGACCTCCTCATCCAGGAGACGGGCTCCAAAGACAGTGATGCCCTTGGTGTCCAAGACTGGGTTATTGCTACGTGGCAGAGTTTTTGTAATATGATTCTTGCAGTCAAGGATCAGAGTGATGTTCTTCTTCTGCACAGAAATGGCAATGCGGTGCCACCTATAGGACGAGAGGAGATATTGAATGTTTAACTGGGCAGATAGTCACAAAGACTTCCTGTATATAGTTTATGTGTTTGCCAAGAGCCATCAATATAGACTGTAAGGAACCTTTCAGCCCCTGCATACAAAAGTGATGTTTACTATTCACCCAATAGTTACACATCACATTACTTGGAAACTAACAGCATCGTGGTTGCATAACACAAATAATTCTAATATATTTGAAACTGGATGGGCTGATGGGGCTCAGCAGGCATTAGTTACTGACTTGCCGTCAGCCAGGTTGACCCCTTTGAACAGTGGGTAGTCCTCTGGGGCAGGTTTGCGATTCTGGTCCTCATACAGGAAGATGGGTGAGCGTCCCAACTCTAGACCGAGCTGCTGGACACCCTGCTCATTGTAGATGGACAGCAGGAAGGCCTGAAGACCAGCCTTGGCCTTTACCAGAGTCATGATGGAGAAATTCTCCGGGAAACGTCCTACAGGAATGGAATTTAAAAAAAAATATCAGAAATATGAAGATTTGAGGCAAATAAAGCAGGTTATTTCAAGCACAGACACATTTGCAGTCTGGAATAAACCTATGATTCATGACTCAACTTGCATAAATTGCACACAATTCACTGACGCTAACATTCAGATTTAGTTTTAACTATGCAACCATCTCATTAGCCACTGAAAAGCTCTCATCCTGCTTTTGAGGAGTAATTGCATGTTAGGGACCAAAATGATTGTCACCCAGACCCAGTAATCTTTCTAAGCATATTAAAAAAAACTGCAATCAAAATACCCAGCTAAAAAATAATTTCACGCTTAATATAATATATAAATATAATGCACTTTCCCAGTACCCAAAATATAGGGAAAGTGCAAAATGTTCTAATTGTATATACAAACATCTAAAAAAGTATGCAACCATCAGTTTTTACAAGTCTCAGCACTTTCCATTTCAAGCCTTTCAATTATGAACCTATCCTTTACACAAATGTCCATTTTGAATTCCTTCATATTCCAGACACATACTGACATACCATAAGCAGCTTTCAGATACATTTCACTGTAACTGGTGTTTTTATAGATAAAACATGTTAAAACAATTGTGCATCTATGAACGTAATAGAATGTCTTCAGGTCTGGTTTATAAGATTAACGGTTATTAAAACGATTAGATATTAAAGGAGCGTACTTGAGAATAGTTGTTTGGTGGGGGCAGAGATCTGGGCTTTCTTAGTGATGCGGTAGGCATGATCAGGAGTGCCGGACCGGCGGGAGGTGCAGAAACCCGGGACCTTCTGCACACCTTCAGGGAGGGAAGGCAACTGCAGCACCCGCAAAACATCGAATGGATCTGTAGAAGTAAAAGAGTTTGGCCATTGTTAGAATAAATATACTTTTAACATTAATTTATCATTTTGGTTTATAATTATGCATTCATATTAATAGTTTCTGTTCATTTAGATCCAAAGAGAACCAACAGCATACTTTTTTTTTCTTTTTCAGACAAGGTAAATGCACTTGTTTCTGTGAACACCATTTTACACAGTTCAAAATGCGAGTTCAAACAGACGTTGAATCATTCAACAGGCCCCACACAGCCAGGTTTTAAAATGTTATGTCTGTTTCCATCTTTCTATTGCTCTTGGCAGCTCTGTTGCTCTTTATGGGATTCATATGAATCCTGATGCCATCTGCTCAACCCACAATGTGTACTACATTATTAACTGTCTAAAACTATGTTAAACTCTCTAACAAGTCTTAATGTATTTGAAATACGTATTTGAAGTTAAACATGTTTGGCTCTGTCTACTCTTTCTAGTGCTTGAAAAATCTATTTCCTTTCATTTTAGTGCTGGCACTTTCCTCTGAGGCTCTGCCAGTATTTTTTGTCCCTATTACCACATTGACCAAAATATGGTCTGTGTATTACCACAATGGGTAGTTAAGTTATTTTGTATTTAGCAGCTATTATAGGCCAAAAATAAGGAACTGTACTTATGTAAACTAATTAAAATGTGAGTACACAGCTATCCATACAAAAAAATATAAAGACAGATGCTCATAAGATGACAATAGACTATAGAGGAGCAGTGCACAATATTCAACACAATACTGTAAGGATGAAAGAGGTTCAAGAGTGCAGGAATCCTAAATGGGGCTTCTAGCTAAAATGCAATGCTTCCTTGATTCTCAAAAGGTGAACCTATTCAAATGCTGGGAGACAAAGATGAACAAGAAAGAGAAAGTCTCTGGGCACTGTATCGGTTTCCAGAAGAGACCATGTGCACAATGTATGGCACTGTTGGAGACCTCAACCACAGCACTATACATGTCCGCTGGGCGCTTCTTGGCTAAACTGGATAAAATAAGGAGGGAGAAGCCCCAAAAGCATTATCCAAATAGAGCAAAATTAGGATAGGAATAAGGCCAAGCACAAATAAAATAAGACTTTGTAGGCAAAAAAGAAAAAAAAGAGAATGAAAACTCTATATATATCATATAATTAGGTCAAAAACATTTTTTGATCATATATTTTTTAAATATTGATTTAAAATTGACATTCATATATTATATTAAATATAACAGAATGAGCATTTATCTTACACAAACATTCCTCCAAATAATAATAAAAAAAAGCACTCTCTACCAATAAAGCTGTCAGTGGACACTAGGTGAAATGATCAGACAAATCATCTCAAAATAGCTAAATATCAGCTGATTAATAACCTAAATCAGTCTTATCACTACTGTTATACCATGTATTTATTACAGAAGACATTATCGCTTCTGTTGTATCTACCAAACACCAACACTGAATAGAGATTAGCAAACGTTTTGTACATAGTAAACATGTCCTTGAATGCCTACAACCAAGGGTCACTGGATGCTCTCACACCGAGTTCACAAACAAACACTGTGTGCTCAAACAGTCTGCAAACAGGAGCAGACAATGGCTCTCAAAGAACAAGACCTAGAAGCAACATTCCCAACAGTGAGTCATTAGCAGTCAAGGTGACCCCAACATTTCTAAAAAAAACTTCCACCACCATCTCTCTCATGACCATGTAATGTAGTTGAGAGAACATTACTCAATCTTCTCTTTCTTTGACTTTTGGTGTTCTACTGTCTTCTTGTGAGCTTCAAATAACTGTGGCTAAATACCAGCGAGACATACCACCTGACACACCTTGACCTTTCAACCCTCACCTTTACTGTCTCACAAAGATGCCCTTGTTTTGAGCAAGACGGACAGATTTGAGGATGAAGAAGTAGATGGAGAAGAGGTTCTACATTTCTGAACAAACAAGGAGACACCTGCAAATGTATCAAACAACTGTGACAACAAACCGCAAACAGATTCAACTTCAAAAGATGCAAAAGACATGAAGATAAATCCATCAAGCCGCCTGAATCGGTCTCCCCCGTCTCATTCTCTCTTCCCGCCAACCGCAGTAGTTAGGCGTGCATGTACATGCCTGTCTAGAGGTTATAATTTAGATCATGGCTCTCTATATTTATGATTTATTTATAATACACAGACAGCTATGCCATCATACCAACTCCTGGCATAATATGGAGTTGCAGAGATATATATCAAACGAGTATTTAATGTTCACAGATTGCCAAGTGTGTTAGCGTGGTTGATGTTTCTTGATCTTGATGAAAGGTTTAAACAACAAAAAAGCCAAAGGCTGACACAAGCACATTAGCCTGACTACTGATGCTTTCCAGGAGGTGAATGAAAGTTCTTCTTAACAAATGTAGTACTTTTATGACAAACATGGGTTTTTTAAAGACGATTAGTGAACAAACAAACAGTAATATGCCTCTAAACAATAGGCCTGTTCATTTGTGCTGTCTAAATAATGTGTCCATTTAGTTCTCGTCCAGAAAGCTATTCAATTCAACTTGGAAAAAAAATACATGCAGCCATATTTTCAAATGATTATTTGCTGTCATTTCATGCCATGCCCAAGAGATGAAAGGCCTCTTAAAAGTCAGCTAAAAACTGCATTAGAACATATATTGCCTTAAATAAAGGTCGTACACTGAATAGCCTATAGATTATAATACAATATACTACACTAAAACTATATGTACTAATATATATATTCTGTGCCAGCGTGTTCTGGGTCTAGGTGGTTCAGTACGAGTCAGTGTGGTGTACATTGCTCGCCACTGCCAGGATGGATAAACTGACCACACGGCCACTGTATTAAACATCATGTAAACTAAAAAAGATTGAGCGTTTATACAGACTCCCCACAGCTCTGTATACACCCATCACTGTAAACCAAAGTATACACTACTCACAGAAAAATGAATATACTTTACTAAGAATTACTCAAAATAAATGCCTATTAATAGCAATCCAAGATAATATGGTTAGCAAAACATTCTGAACCAAAAATTTGGTTACTGACAAATAGCTTGGTCACCTTTATATTCTGTAAGTAACCATACGTTGAGAGCTACAATCATAAGGCATGCACAAAAGTTTCAATTCCCTGAGACATGTTAATAAAAAAATAAGCCAGACTAAAGGAAGAGGGTGCTTATTATGTGCTCAGTGAATCCTTTAGATGTGGTGCTATTGAGCTGAAAAGCTTGAACATGAGTTGGGCCCTCTTGCGGTGAGATGTCTGCATTCCCCCCAAAAAAAACTATTTTAAACTGACCTTGAAACACAGAAATTTTGTGAGATATAAAACCTGCTGCAACAAACTTCTGGTAAAGACATTTTCATTGCATATTTCCATTTTAAAGATTTTTTTCCCCTGAATAACCAGCTGCATAATGCAATGAAACATGCCTGGAAGAGAGATCCAGTGATCTATTTAAGGTATCAATGGCTCAAACGTTACTCTTAAAAATAATGGTTCCACATTGACATCAATGTTTCTATGAAGAAACCTTAACATCAATGGAAATGTTCCATTCCACAAAAGGTTCTTTAAAGTGGAAAAAGGGTTTTCAGATTATTCAAATGTTCTTTAAGAAAAAATGTTTCTTATAAGAACTTGAAAGGTTCTTTGAGAAACTAAAATTATCTTCTATGGCACTGGTGAGAAAACCTCCTTCTTTAAAAGTGTATGCCAAATTTCTATGATCATTTTAGGTTCAAAAACAACCCATTTCCAAAAACATTGTGTGGAATGAAACTTGAAGACATGATGACTGACTATCTCTCTAGGACATACCGCAAAACTGTGCTTCTTCAACTAGAGGAACTGTATTGTTGTCAACAGAGCCATTTGTGGAAGTGTGAGGCTTCTGGAGGCCTGTTGCGGCTAGACAGTGATAAGGTTCCTACAGCTGGAGTTGAATCACTAGGGTTAGTTTTGTTTGTCAGTTTTAGGAGAAGAATAATAAAGAAATGGTTGCTCAGAGCGAAAAGCATAAGGCTGATCACCTAGAAAACGAATAGCACAACTCACAACAACAATGAACTTGAGGTATCATCCATGTACTAACGATAGTAACAAGTTTAATACCAAGTATGCACAATAGTAATAGTAATGCAATGCACTTTCCATGCATAAATTCAATAAATATATTAAGGGATCTGAGGAGCACCCGTTAAACTCTTCGTCCCTCATATTCTCAATGTACTTCAGGACAAGAGTAAGTTAGTGATGGGGAAGATTAGCAATGTAAGTAACACACAATGACATTCATGAAACTGTCATGAATGACGGACACACCCGTGATGACAGTCTTTTCTCACGTGCTACGAATATACACTTGAATATGGCATTTCCTTCACACACAGTGGCTCCATTCAGTCCTCATCTCTGCATTTGGTTGAGGGTGTTTTGGTTAACAGAAGTGAGACAGACTGTTCTTTGAGACTGCTGCCTTTGAAATGAGGTTGAAGGAACATCCATGTTAAATAAATATTCCCCACCTAAAAATCACTGCACTCTCTAAAGTCTGTCTGCTGCCCCGAATTCAACAATATTGAACAACGATGACTGCTTAAAGGTAACTAGCAGACATAAATGGACTTATAAAATGGACTCGCATAACTTTTTTTGTTGTTCACATTAAACAACATAACTTGCTGAAATAATGTTTTTGTACCAGCAACAACAAGCTGTGGAATATTCACAGTGCAACATTCACTGGCCTAAAACTGGCATACTGTGGAAAATTCTCCAGGTGTAATAGACGTGTGCGTTTACACAAATATCACTGAGCTCACACACGGAGACACTAACTCATTCACTGCATCTCTCAGAGCCACAGGGCAGAATAATAACCTACTCATGCGAGGCACAAATATTCAGACATCCTCCAAACACAAGGGAGGGAAAGAGAAGGGAAAAAAAAGAGTGATCAAATCAGAAATCTGGAATTACATCCATGCCTGAGGGACGCTAGGCGCGCGCCATCATCGAAAAACAAAAAACATAGTTTTGTTGTTAATTTTTTAATTCAACCAGAAGCTTTAGCACATTAAATATGAAGTAAATCTGTCCAAATCTGGTGTGAAAATGTACTCTATATGATTATGTGCTTCTACTTATTGTGAAAGAAACGTCTTTGGAAAAGCAGCAGACTCTCGAGCGCCACTCACCGACTAGTGGTGACCGCTAGAAGCGCAGCTGACGATTTACATAGAAAATAATATCATAATATAAAAAATTAACGTGCAGATATTAGTATGTCTAGTCGGGTGGGGTAAATTAAATTAACATTTAATTATATATGCTGCTTCTTATATTAAAGATGGATTCGTTTTATAAATAAAACCAAAAACTAGGCTACTGGAACAAAAAGAGCTTTGGAAAAAAGTTCATAAAGTTCGTAAATAAGAAAAGCACTCAGTGATTAGGAAGGCATCGTCGCGAAGGTTTTAGGACACTCTGAAGTGAGCTATTTAGGCTATAAATTAACAAATAAAAAATGTAAATGAAATATTGATTTTTAAGAAAACGCGAAGAGACAGAATAGCGACGCTACTGAGGCGCGCAGTCGGTCAGTAAACGTTGCTACTTATAATCATTTTTCTTATAATTTATTATTCAAAAATATTTGCTCGCTAAATGCCGAGACTGACCAATCAGAATCAAGCATTCCAGAGAGCCATGCAATTAATAAAAGTAATAAAAACAATTAATGAAAAATAAAATGTATGTATGTATATAGCCTAGTATATACACTCTAAAAAGTGCTGGGTTGTTTCAACCCAACTTTGGGTCAAATATGGACTAACCCAGCTGTTGGGTTCATTTTTTTTATTACATTTTTAACCCAAAAGTTGGGTTAGTCCATATTTGACCCAAAGTTGGGTTGAGACAACCCAGCATTTTTTAGAGTGTATAGTGAATTTACCATACGATTACTGATCGTTGTTTGCACTAACAATCATCTCAAGGTGCTGTGCGCCGAAATGAAGATCGAACCAGGATGTGAAACCCTGCCAGTGAAGCACCGTCCTATCCTATGCCCCCGTCTGGGATGCCACATAATGCGTGCCAACGCGGCCTGGAGCTCAACTCATGGGCCTATATTTATTTTGTGCATATTTCAGCACTGTAAAAATTCTGACGAGATGAAAGAGAGATGTCAGCTTAAAGGACTCGAACCGAATTTTCGCCTGCTAATGTGAGCTCACCAAAAGTGACAGCTAGATGTATCATAATTAAAAGTAGAAATCAATGAACTGAAATCGCTTTTGTTAGCCAGAAGATTCACGCATCTTCTTGGAAACACAAATACACAATCACCAATCTCGTGGATTAATTACCTGGCGTGCGTAAAAAGCGCACCAAACAAAACCCAATGTTGCATTGATTCCTCAATACATAAATCATGTTACAGTTTCTTCTGTCAAATGCCACAAACACCCAAACAGAAAAAGTTAAATGCTCACCTGCGTGTGCCAGAGAAAGACACAGGAGGAGCACGAACGAGGTCTCCATGCACCACGGCCTCCGCTTCTTCCGAATATCCATAGTTCCCAAGTTTTTTGACCGGTTTGGTAGGACTACAAGGCAGGACAATTTCAAATCAGCTTTTTCCACATAAACTTCGACTTGGCCTCTGACAAACTTGGTGCGACTTAAGAGACGTCTTAAAACGCACACCCACCTTGCTCTTCGAGAAGTTATCTGTGCTATGTACAAAACTTAAATAGAAAGAAGGGAACGGGTAATAAATATGTAGTTTTACAGCTCGAAACCCCTAATGCTAGAGCCCCATTGAGTCTGAGTGAACAGAAAAGCGGAGAGAGCAGAGAGAGGCTTCAAAATCACTCTCTCTCTCAATCTCTCTCTTTCTTTCTTACTTTCTCCCACGAAATGCAAGGGAGCGCGAGCGTGTGCGTGCGTGTGTGTGTGTGTGTGTGTGTGTGTGTGTGTGTGTGGAGAGAGAGAGTGAATGAGAGGGTAGAGAGCAAAAAAAGAGGGAGGGAAATGCATGCATACAGACTTCTGCGGCTTTCTACACGTTCGTTTCGTGTCGACAGCGTTCATTTCAAGAACTTATGAAAGGATCTATATTGCCCAAAATATCTGCATTCATCAAATGAGCTGTTTGTTGTTGACGTGCCAGCGATTGGCATGTAGTTCAGTCAGATTATTTCTCTCTATTTATTTCTGTTTCACAGCTGAACCTTGCAGGACCGATGGGTCCGTAGGCATGAAGAACTTCACCAGCCAATCAGATCCTTATCCGCTCGTGACGTCACGCGCCATCTTCCCTCCCCTTTTCAGGTCTCGCTCGCTCAGACTCGGTTACTCAAATTAAACGACCACGCCAGCAGATATGGATCTAAACGAACGTTTAGTCCTGTCAGCAAAACTTCATTTCGGTTAGTCATACACTATTATTAAAGAAATGTTTGTTGTATGCCAATTATTGATGGCTTTCAGGCCGTCTCTCTTTTTTCTATCCGTAGTTTATGGCGCGCAACTGTTGAGGCTTGTCTTGCAAAACGTCTTTCGGCGCATCTAGTACTTTTAACTAAATTACTATCCTAAAGACGCTGTTATATGTGTAAATACATAATAAAGTGATGAAACGGTAGGCTAGTTTGTCGACGTACCGTCCCATACTGATCCTAACGGAAGGCGCTCGAGCGGTCTACTGTTGTTGCTATAGTAACCGCATCACGTAAAGCGTCGTAAAGTCACCTCACGTTCGCTAACTCTTATAGTAATCTTACTATGGTGCCTGCTGTGAATTTGTTTTATTGAAAGGTATTCATTTTTCACATTCTCAATGTCAAAAGTGGCCCAATTTACCAGAATTTATAGTAGCTATAAAGCATTTGCTTGAAGTAGTTCATATATAAAAGTCAGCCACATAAATAGACCTTTTAAGTGACAAAAGTCAAAAGCAACACTGATAAAAAAATATTCTGTGGTGAAGTAAATACTACAGAAAAACAAAAAAGTTAGTCCAGGCATTAAAAAAAAAAAAAAAAGTTAATTCTTTATTAGTACTCAATTCAAGCTTGTAGAAATTAAAGCATAAATATCAACGTTATAAAATTAAGTAAAACCTACTCAACTTTTCTGATACCGTTGTTCCCATCATGCACTGGGGCATGAATAATTAATAAGGTTGATTTTTTTGCTGTTTTCCAGCTGCACTGTTTTATCATTGCTTTTGTTGTTAGGTTTAGTAACTTGCGATTTTGTTACATGGAGTTCATTTTCAACTCAAAATGACACATTCATACTCAAAACTGAGCCACAGAATGTTACCGTCATTGTGTACCTCTCTGTTTTCGGATGAGTGCTGCATTACTAATTATGTAGATATGGTGTCTGCATGATAACTTTGAATTTTCTGACTAAAACACTTTTAAAAGCATGGTTTAATTAGGTGCTATATTGAGTAAAATCAAAGTATTGCCACACTGTAAAACCTGGTAAGTTAAGAAAACTCAAAACATTTGAGGAAACTTATTGCCTCAAAATATTTGAGTAAACAAACTCAATTTTTTTCCAGTTAGTAGACCTTAAAATTTTTATGACAAGTGGGGTGGGGCTGAGAGCCATGGGAGCCAAGCCAAGTCTCGCTTCCATGGTCCCACCCCACTCATCACAATGATAATTATATACAACTTGCTTCCATTAACAGCACATTCATTCAGATCTTTATAGTTAAGTGCTAGCTAGCAACAGCACACTAGCACGTACTAATGTACTTATCTAAAGGACTCACAATACTTGCAGGCAAATAGTCAAACAACATGCAGTATAAATAGTCTTTAAGTTTTGCTGTCCATCCTCAACCTAACCACAGGCTCTACTCTTCACCACAACGGTAACACTACAAAACCAACATAACAGAAACCTATGTATATCCTAACATAACACAACATTTAAGTACTAACTTATGTCTCTCTATGTTAATCTTGTGTAAAAAACACACAAAATAACACTTAATTTCTACATTTATTTTCCTTGTTGTCTGATGCAAAGCATGCTGGGAACTAGAAAACGCAATCATTTTAAGTTCACCTTACTACAGCAACATTTTAAATTTATAGAACTTATTTCAATTAAGTCCAATGCACTTTCATTATTATTTGAGTGAAGTTAACTCATTTCATTTAATTAATTTCACTGTTCGGTTTTACAGTGCAAGCAAGCTTTGACTAAATAAAAATTGCTTATTAGTTATGTATTTTCTTTGTTAAATTTACTTAACTTAGTTAAGTACTTTTTTTTTACTTAATTGTATATGTGAAATTAAATATATAGTTCAGTCATGAAACTCTAGATGGCGCATTCTGACGGGGTGTTAACGTAACTGATGATATTCAGAGAGTTAAACGACTTGGCACAAGCTGATTGGTTCATGCTGCATATGCAGCCAATGAGCTTACTGCCTTGCATTTATATGGCTGGCTAGCATTCACTTGAGATTCCTGCAGCACGCTTTCAGAGTTTCTCTGAAACCCTCCACCTTCCCCAGCTCCACCTGTATAGATCTGCTACGGGTTATTTTATATGCTATTTGTGCAGCAGCAGCATGTCTTAAATACTCATGGCACCGTATCGCCATATGCACTGGCAGTAGCAAGTTCCTGTACTTGCTTGCAGCAGCAGCAATAATCTACAACTACAGCAATAACCAACAGCAGCAGTGTAGCAGATCTGTTCCGCCAAGACCAAATACATTAACATTGTCATATCCATCACCATGCTAAAATGTCCAGAGAGTTGTCATGATTGAAATATAATTATGTAGCCTAACAAAGGCTTTCTTACGAAGATTTTATCAAGTAAATCCTATATGATTAAGTGTAATCATGAGCTCGCTCCCATTTGATCTCTGATACTTTGATCAGAAGATCTATGATTCTTGATACCAAGAAACACATTTTGATGTTTCTACTTTCCTTTATTATTATTTTCTCTCACTGCCTCCTATAGATGCAGCAAACTGCAGTTCTTCAAAGTAAGGGATAAAAAAAAGAAGCCCAGTCATTTATTTAGGTTACGCCTATTCTTTGTCCAGATCTTTATAAGCACCTGTGCTTTTGAAGAAACAACCCTATATAATGTGTCTCAGCTTAAAAAAAAAAAAAAGTGCATAAAACAAACATTTATAAAACAGAATGGTATAAAATAGCACACTGCCAGCAGCCACCAATCACAATATAACCTGCACTGTGTTCTTTTATGAATATTAAAACCCCTACCAACATTATTAGGAGCTGACGAGAACTTTTTCTAATTTGCAGGAAAAAAATTATTGAAATCAGTGCTTCTTATGGGCTGTAGCCCATTATGGTCTAAAGGAGACAATCCATAAACAATCATGGCATGTGTTTTTGTAAGGCTTCTGGCTGGTGCACTCTAGCATTTCTATAATAAAACAGTATAATCATACGCTTTAAATCTGTGGTGTTCCCATTGACACAGAGAGACCGGAGGAGAATGTGAGAAAGAATAAAGGTATTTTTAAAAATGTGAGAAAAGATCATGGAAAATGAGGGATGTGGGTGGAAAGTGGGAATCAGGTGTTCTTTACTATATTACTGCTGAAGATAAAATGCAATGCAGCATTTAAATTACTCTCGCTCAAATTTGTCCAAAGTACAACTAAGGGAATAAATTATAAAAAATAAAAAATAAATATTGTGAATCGCAGATCAGAGCACTTTTTGTTTTGCGGGAATGCAGATTTAAATTTTTTTTTTTCAAATGATCACTGATGCTAAACCTAACTGCTATGCCTGCTATGCTGTCTGAGTAGGATAAAAGCTAGCTGTGTTGTTCAAAATTACAGTTTAATCATGAACAGCATTCAGGAAAAAAAAGGAAATTCTCTAAACTGACATTAAACAATTAAATGCATTAAATCGCCTACAGCTTGGTCTGTCTGAAACCATGGCAGAGCATGTGAACATAGACATTGAGAATGTATAAAACCAAGCAGAGGTTGGCATACAGGTGAAGACCCTGAGAAGGTATAAACATACAGCTGGGTTGAAATGGCCTGAGACCAGTTTACATCCAGAGAAACAGTGGAGCGCAAATTCAACTCAAACACTGCAAAGTACCTTGAGAAAATCCACATAAATAGACGACTGACATAACGTCTTGGCATTTGTACAAACCATGCAACTGATAAAACTTAGAAAGCAAAAGGTAAAAAGCCACTCAGACTCTGACAGAGAAATCCTCAAGACAGATGTTTCCCACCTTGAGCGAATACAGCTGTTCGGATTAATACAGCCTACTAATTTGTCCACAGTAATTTCAGGCTTTGACGATAGGCCGCTAGCAATGCGGTTGTGTAGGTTTTGGTTGGCCACCCATGCTAACAGATTTTATGACAACATCTGAGATTTGCTGTGTGTGTGAGAAAATGAATTATCTCCCGATAGGGCTACGTGCTGGGCATGAAGCAGTTCAATGGGGGGCACACGAAAGCAAACTCAAGTTTTCCTTGGAGTCAGACACAGCAAGTGCTTGCGGACAGCCTGGTTATTTCCAAAATGGGGACCTTGTAATTACAATAAAGCGACCAGATTATATTGCAGACTTCCTTAAAAAAGTCTGTATTTTAATGGGCAGGGCTGCAAACCACGCACACACACCCTAGCCCACTACAACACACCAAAATAGATTGGAGAAGGAGGGGGGGAGGAAATACACTGGCATGTGCATATTTGTGTGTGTGTTTGTGAGGAAATGGACTGGGTTGGGACAGGGTAACAGCGGGAGCACTGAAAAAAATTGCCTATGTATGTAACTCTGTATTATGCTACACAGAGCTCCCAGTAAGTAGAGACCCAGATGTAAG